GGTCAGCGGTGATGCATAAGAAATGCGACAGGTCAGCGGTGATGCATAATAAATGCGACAGGTCAGCGGTGACGCATAATAAATGCGACAGGTCATTGGTGATGCATAAAAAATGCGACAGGTCAGCGGTGATGCATAATAAATGCGACTTATAAGCCAAAGTGACTTGTGTATGTTTTTTCCCTCATCGTGATGCTTTTTTTGACTGATGCGACTTATATTCCGGCAAATATGGTGTTAATCAACAGGTGGCACCCAAAACAACAGACAAGGTAGAGCTACTGAACAACCTCCAGAAGATGGACAGGAATATAAACTCGTTTACAAAAGTTTACAGGAGATTTGTTGTTATCCTCAACTACACAGTTAAAAACTCACTCAGGACAAATTAAAAGTCCTGTCAATAAAATACGTCTTACTGAAAAATGTGACTGCTATTTTAGAGAGAAAAGAGGTACAAAAGGTAAATAAACTAAACTCCGTGTGTACAGAAGTTTTAAAAACACAGTCAGTGTTCAGATGGGTGGGGCTTTAAAGTCTCCAGAAAAAGTCAAAGAAACACAAACAATTTAACGTGGAACATTCAGGGCAGAAACACACGACACGTCCACTGTGTCTACAACTAAAATAAAAATCGTGTGTTCGAAGTAAATCAAAACCTAAAAAAATAAAAAGAAGACTATGTGAAGAACTTAGATGGGGAAAGAGTCCTGGTAAAATAAGCATGTGGACATGTTTGACCAAACTGAACTGTAACTCCACACCTGCTGATCATGAGCATCTTTTACAGATAAAGTGAAAATCATTCAAAATTGTCACGTTATACGATGTTACTGCTGAAAATCTATAACTATTCATTAACGATTCATAAGGGTATGTTAAGTAATAAAGGTATAATATTAGTGATAAATGATTGTATTCTATTTGTTACTAGAACAGGCTGTAATCTACTTCACAACAAGCAAACATTCACAGTGACACAGTGATGGAGGTCAGTTCAGTCAGCTCTGACAGAAATATCCCAGACTGTGGGAGATGTTTTAACTCACACGCATGCTTTCATGTCTGCAGATCATGTCAAGCGAATTAGCGGCCCTGCATAATTACAGTCTTCAGCGTGACCACAAGGAAGTGAGACACTCGCGACACGTGTGGCCAACTGAGCTCAGGGTCAGGTTGGCTCAACAGTCTCCTCAGTTTGAACTTTTTTCTTTCATGGATGTTCTAAACAATGTAGGGCTTCTACTTTGTCTTGGACAAACAGGTTTTAGGTTGGAAAAGGAAACAAAAGGGCTAAATGAGCCTAAATCATTTGCTGCATGTCCCACAAACCAGCATCCACCAACAGTTCAGTGTTATAGTTGCCATTAAAAATAAAATAAAAAAAAACTTCCTGTTTCCTGAGCTGCACATTTTACTGAAAGGAGCCAATTTTTTCCACTTCATTATGTCCCACATTGAGTTTTACACACTTTTGACCTGAACATGCTCCTGAAGTTGTGAGAAAAAGTTGCAGGGAGGTTCTGCTCAACTAGTTGTGTCCTTGGAATGAGAGCTGAAGCCGATCCTGGAGCCTGATATCACAGGGCCACACAGGACGGACTGGAGCCCCAGGAGAACCGGCAACACCAGAGTCCTCCTCGAAAAGTGGGGCTTCTGACCAAATCGGATGTTTGTGGAGGTCCAAATTGTGAACATGCCGACAAGAGTGTGAGCTGGAGTACCAGGTGGGGGTCGGAAAGTTCAGAGTTTGAATGAGATTACAACACAGCTCTCACATGGACACTTTGTGAGGCTCTGTTCAAATGAGGCCTGGTGCACACAGGGGTCCTGCATAATAAGGGAAGTAGGGCAATGATTTGAGGGCTGGTACATATTAGGGGACATTACGAGAGCCATTTTAATCACTCAACCTGCAAACCGGACCTCTCGGTGGTGCGGCTAATAGTTGAAATGGATATGTTTCATTTGGTGCTGATGGAGATGATGAATGGAATTCTCTATTCCCAGGCACTTAGCTACACTGTGATGCTGACAGTTTTGCATATTTTTAAAAACAAGTTTTATGTTTTTACTTTGTTTAAAAATCCGTACCAACGGTCCAAAATAATGCACAGCAAGACAATAATGCACAGCAAGACAATAATGCACAGCAAGACAATAATGCACAGCAAGACAGCTGATTTTTTGGTAAACAATGGCATGCAAGTCACACCGCTGTAATTATTTTTTATTTTTTACAAGTTATAAAAGCCGTGGTATATACTGTTAAACAGACGTAAAATAATACAAATGTGTTCATGTTTTTTGTACAGTAACTGGAGCAGATCTTTTAAACCAGACTGAGGACTATATGGTCCACCTGACCTGCTTTCCCTGCCAAACCACATGAGCAACAGAAACGCGTCGTCCAAGAGCTGCGGCAGATGTTACAGTAAAGACGCAGTCAGGGTTCCAGCCTTTCACCACGGCTACAGAAGCGTCTGGAAATGGCAGGTTTAGCAAGTGTGCAGCAATGCCAACACATGAAGCACATTGTGGGTGGGCCACCTGTATCCTGCAGGGCAATTCCTTCCCTGTTTTAACAGGAACAGTTAAGTGGTACTGTAGCGTAGTGATGAATGAGAGGGGGAGAGCGCAACTCCAAATAGAAGACCTCGAGAAGTGACTTTTCTGTCAAGTCATCCTACTTTTCTGCACCAAAATGCTTCTTGAATATTTTAAGTGCTGGCAGACACCATGAAGAGGGTCTGAAAGGGATGTGTGAATTTATGGAACACCACGGGTTAAGCTCACTAATGTAAAGAGGGGCCACCATGCTCGGATACTTTTAGCCTTTTTTTGTTTTGCAGCGACTGAGGTACACCGTGCACAACTGGTTATTGTGGAAACAAATGATCTCAAAGTGTTTCTTATTCACATATATCAGAGTGGGGACTGGAAATATTTGGTTGCACAGATGTGCAGACATTCCTGTGTCGTTTCTTCAATTAGTGCTCTGAAATCGACTCAAACTGTTGCGCTTCCTTTAAAACCCAAAACACCTGACCAAAGTACTCCTATTACAAGAAAAACCCTCTTTAGGCCAATCTTTTACAAAAATAAAACAATTCCAGACAGGAAGATAACAGGAATGTTAAACATGTAGAGACAACCCAGGAGTGATATCAATGATGTGTCAGGTCTGACCAAAGGAAAGTAGACAAGTTAGTTATGTTTAAACATTACCAACCAAAAGGTCAAGACAATTCACAGAAGTTAGGTCATTTCTTGGAGCCGCCAGCCACCTACCTTCTCAATTTCCAGAACTTTAGCATTAATGGCCTCCCACCGGCGAGCCTTTAGGTCCTCCTCTGGTGTCAGAGTTGGCTCCACGCTGGCAGCTGCTGCCTCCTCTGGCTCCGCTGACTCCGCTGCAGACGCAGATGTTTTTTCCTGGCAAGCCAAAGGTTAAGGGTTAGAGCTGAGGTCACCACGTTTAGAAAGTGGCTCTGATTTCAAAGTGATTTGACGAGAAAATGCTGCGTTGTTACAGGTGCTGAGTTCCTGTTTGCATGCGTGTCTCATTATGCTCGCTGCGTGCCAACAGAAAACAGACACCAGTGCCATACAAAGTTTATCTTTCTGATTATAGCCCTCTGACAGACAAAGATCAGCACAAAGAGCCAGGAACAGACCTAACACCAATACATTATAATAAACAAAATTAATAGCAAAAAAAGTCTTCCATATTTTATTAATATTGAGTAACACGATTTGTTTGTATAAGTTATTTTAGTAACACAATAACATTTCTTCCTGTTTTTTTCTTTTTTAATGTTATTTTAATTGAAAAATCAATTTGAACATCAACATTTTATCACCCATTGTGCTAGGAATACATTGAAACTGCCTAGAGAGTAAATCTAACAGTATAATTTACTTTTTACAAGGTAAATTTGCATTAACACTAGAGCCCGACTGATATATCAGTATGGTCGATATTTTAGGCTGATAATAGACGTTTGGGGACATGTTGGTGATGATAACTGTCCCATTATGAGCCGATATAAACACTTCTAAATTTCACACCTAAAATACAGGAACCAGTCATAATTGTACAATGTATCCAGCAGAGGAGCATGAAGACTTTCAAGTCATGGTCGTTCAATTTGTTTCACTTTTGAAGTTTGGCACAGATGAAGCAGGGAGCAATACTGTGTAGAGCATTTTGCTGAATAGAGCATGGTAGGTTTATTTTAACAAATCAAATATGTAAAACAAATCAACTATAATAAATTCTCTTCAATCCTCCAACCCGCTTGTCATTAGCTACGTGCCTTTCAAGTTAGCAAGCTAACATTTAGATAACCTAGCATTGGCTATTGTCTTGTAAAACTTTATCCAGAACAATAAATCTAACAAAGAGGTAAAACACATCAGTGTTAGTAATGTTAGCTCTGTCATCAATGAAATGCATCGTTTGTCTGAAATCTTTACTTCTCTGCAAAGAAAAATAAACTCTCTTGCAGTCAATACTTATTAGACCCTAATCATATGTGAGTGTTTCTTTGTTTAATTTATATTTTGTAACACATCTGACAACTTTATGGTGAATAGTGGAGGATAGAAAATGTGAACGCACGTTAGGAAGACTGTTTTTATGACCAGTGCACCCATTGCAAACCTAGCGTGGGACTACTTAAAGCGTCAATTTGATTAGCTTAGTTTCATGGTTGCTAACAGCTGCGCTAAATAAACAAGCCCTGCTCTGCTCACTGTTTTCTTAGATTCTTGGGGGTGGACAAAGCTAAAAAAAATACATTCGGCCATAATATCGGTTATTGGCATTAGCCTCCCCGTCCCAATATCGGTATCGACGAGTGCCAAAATTTCCATATGGGTCGGGCTCTAATTAACACCACTTAATAATGTAGTTAAAAGTACTGTACAATCCTTTTAATAAAGAGGAGCTAAAGATATTAGTTTGTTCTGATGTTTTATTAGGAACTATAAATGGAGAATGCAAATGCTATTGCTAACTGTATTTTACACATTTCAGAAACAAAAACAAAATTATAAGAATGATTTTAAAAAATGCAAGTTTTACCTTTGAAGAAAGTGAACTATGAGGAGACCCTTCAGCAGAGCTGCTGGGAGTTTGGATCTTCTCCACGTTGGTCTTTTCTGTGGAATCTGTATCATGAAAGTACAGTAAGCAAAAATGAATATAAACATCATAATAAAATGTTCTGACAAAGGTTTCATCGCAACAAAAAGAAGTTGAATCAAATTATACATGAGGGAGGTCAAAGGTTATTTTTTTATTTATTTATGAACTTTTCTTTGTATTAAAACAGGGCCAGTGGCAACAACTTGGTGGTTGTGGTTTGTCTCACATTAACTGAAGTATTTTTGCAAAATCTGGACTGGGTTCTTTATAATATTTTTTTCTGTCATGCTTCTCAAGACTCTTTATAGAATTATTTGATAATGTGTGAAACAACTACGGTGTTCATCTTAAGAGAGCAATGTTGAAGCCACAGCATTATGTGACAAAAGAAACGTGTACTAATCCCTGTCTCCTGCTTTGCGTTAGTCCACCGTTGGGACGTCTCAGACTAAAGTGGTTGTTCTGTTCAGATGTGTCTAAATTAAAAATAAAGTCTATATTTAGCCAAAGGCTTCCAGAAAAAAAAAAAGTTGATTGCATATTAAATATTTTCTTTTCTTTGCAACTATGGAAATGTTTTATTGTGCTTAGTGTGATCTGATGTAATAAGGAATTCTTCGTACTGTGGTTGGTCCATACACAGATGTTCAAAGGCCCAAGTCAACTGAAAAAAAAAACAATTTATACATCAACATGTCATGTAATGATGGTTATAGCTGTTCTTTGATGGATGAAATGGGGGTACAAACAGCCTGCCATTATGGTTGTTAAAAAGATCAACGATTGATACTCCAATATGAACCTCGTCTAAAGCACATAATGACTTTTGTTCTCAGAGTTCTGGAGACAAAGTTAAACACAGTGGTCACGTCAACAAAACTCTTCTGGGGGACCCCAAGGCTTTCCCAGGCCAACCGAGAGACACAGTCTCTCCAGCATGTCCTGGGAGTCCCCTCCCAGTTGGACAGGCCCAAAGCATCTCCCTAGGGAGGCACCCAGAGGGCATCCTTACCGGATGCCCGAACCACCTCAACTGGCTCCTCTTGATGTGGAGGAACAGCAGTTCTACTCCAAGTCTCTCCCGGATAACTGAACTTCTCACCCTATCTCTAAGGAAGAGTCCGGCCACCATGCAGAGGAAACTCATTTCAACTGCCCATATCCGCGATCTCATTCTTTCGGTCGCTACTCAGAGCTAGTGAACATAGGTGAGGGTAGGAACGTAGACTGCTCGGTAAACAGAGAGCTTCGCCTTACAGTTCCACTCCCTCTTCACCACAACGGACCGGTACAGAGTCTGTAACACAGTAGACGCTGCACCAATCCGTCTGCCAATCCCTGACTTGTGAACAAAACCTCAAGATACCTGAACTCCTCCACTTGAGGCAGAACCTCACCCTCGACCTGAAGAGAGCAATCCACCTTTTCCCAGTTGAGGACCATGGCCTCAGATTTGGAAGTACTGATACTCATCCCAGCTGCTTCATACTGGACTGCTAACTGCTCCAGTGACAGCTAAAGATCATGGCATGATTATGCCAACATGACCACATCATTTGCAAAGAGCAGAGATGAAATCCTGAGGACGCCGAACAGGAATCCATCCGCCCCCTGGACTCACCGAGAAATTCTGTCTATAAAAGTTATGAACAGAATTGGTGACGATGGGCAGCCCTGGCAGAATCCAACTCCCACCCTGAAGGGGTCCGACTTATACCGACAATGTGAACCAAACTATTGAACCACTTGTATAGAGACTGAAATAGCCCGTAACAACGGGTCTCCAATCCCATACTCACGGAGCACCCCCCACAGTGTACCCCGAGGAACAGGGTGGAAGGCCTTCTCCAAGTCCACAAAACACATGTAGACTGGACGGGCAAGTCCCATGACCCCTCGAATATATATATATAT